GAAGTTCTTCCAGCCTCCCTCAGCTCCTCCCCTGCTTTCTTCCAGTCTTGCTTCCAGTTATCATGGAAAGGCTGGAGAAACTGCATTACATGAAGGTAAGAAGGGTTCTCTTGCATTTGCCCTGTCTATAGTCCCTAGCCATGCTGTGCTGGGGATTCTGACTCTCACTACCACCTTACCGTATCATTCAAATACAGCCTGCCCTACTCCCCGCTGGCCACCGACTTAGACATCAGAGCCAGTTTCCTGGCAGTAGCCAAGACCATTCCCTTCTCTCTTTCAGGGCCTCTGGTGCCTTCTACCTGCTTGATTCCTGGCAGGGAAGGCATGGGGACCACTTTGTGATATCCAAGTCTCATATAGGCCTCTCTTTTATTTGTTTTTTGTACAGAAAGTCAGGGTGCTGCATGCCCCATTGCAAGTCATGCTGTCTGGGTGCTTGTGAGTATGGAGTTTTGGTAGTTTGGGTTCTTTGGTGGCTAGGGTACTAAGACTTGCCAGGGAGCATGGTGGGTATCAAAGAGCATGTGCTCCTTTGCCTGACTTTATTTAAAATTTCTTTTGTGTCAGTACTGGAGCTTTGAACTTGGCCTGGACACTGTCCTGTTTTTTTTTTCACTCAAGGCTGGTGCTCTACTACTTGAGCTACAGCTCCAATTCTGGCTTTTTGGAGGTTAATTGGAGATAAGACTTTCCTGCCTAGGCTGGCTTTGAACCATGATCCTCATATTACCATCATCTTGAGTAGCCAAGATTATAGATGTGATCCTATAATCTGTTCCTAGTTATATCATGACAGCATTCTTTTTTGTTTGTTTATTTTTTTTTGTCATGGGGCTTAAACTCTGAGCCTGGGTGCCATCACTGAGCTCTTTAGCTGAAGATGAGCACTCTACCACTTGAGCCACAGAGCCACTTCTGGCTTTTTCTGCTTATGTAGTGCTGAGGAATTGAACCCAGGGCCTCGTGCATGTGAGGCAAGCAATCTACCTCTGAGCCACCTTTCCAGTCCCATGACAGCATTATTTTATTATTTATTTATTTATTTTGTTGATTATGGGGCCTGAACTCTGGGCCTGGGCGCCATCCTTCAGCTCTTCAGCTCAAGGCTAGCACTCTACCACTTGAGCCACAGCACCACTTCTGGTTTTCTGGTGGTTAATTGGAGATAAAAGTCCCACAGACTGTCCTGCCGGGGCTGGCTTTGAACTGTGATTCTGGTGTCTCAGCCTCCTGAGTAGCTAGGATTACAGGCCTGAGCCACCTCGCCTGGCTTATGACAGCATTCTTAAGAGCTTACCATGTGTCTTAGTGTTAATCTTGCTTTGCCATGTGAGGACTAATGATAACAACTTCCCCTACATGTGTGGATGCTCGTGGCTTCAGGTTCATAGTTCAAGCTCTCCAGTCATGTCATTATGTGGTCATTTGTTTGAACATGGGGGTGGGGTGAGAGCTGGGATGAGGGATGGAAGGACAGTGGTTTTATCCTCACATCAGAAGACAGAGGACAGAGAATGGTGTGGGAGAGCACTGTGGCTGAGAAGGCAGATGGGGGCGGGGAAGGAGGGAGGATACCTCCCTCTCCTCTCTGGGGGCTCTGAGATGGAGTGTGGGCGGGGCTACCAGGAGATGTCTACCAACCTTTTGGTTTCTCTTTTCTTCCAGCCTCCTTTTCATGGTGCCTGTGGCATGTGGCCTCTTCCCACAGGAATGGTATTGGCTGTTGGCTGCTCACTTAGTTTTGTTGAATGACCTGCTACTGCTTTCCCAGTCTACCTGCTGTTCAAGGGGGAAAGGGATGGGATAGGAAGGAACGGTTTCCAAGGACAAGTGCTCATCAGCTTGAGCTCTGGGCCTCTTAGCCCCATGTAAATGGCAAACCAGCCAGATCTTCAAGGGGCGGGAGAAGCCAGGAGGGGTGCAGTTGCTCCCCACCCAGTGGAGCAAGTACAGCCTTTGAGACATGGTGAGGAGCAAAGGACTTCCTGTTCTGCTGGCTAGGTTGTTAGGAACATCCTTCCTGGCTTGATCTGGTATTTAAAATTGAATGAGGTACTTACTCTGGCTCATGTTTGGACCTCTACTCTGACTGGGACTTTTCTACTTCCTTTGATGTTCTAGAAGGGAGGCAGGAAGAAGGGATGGTGGGAAGAGGAAGGGAGGCATGTGACAGTGGTAGCAGGGAGTGACCAACTCCAGGAGACCAGCATAGCTTCACTACATACTGAGAAGGTATTACACTCCTTTCCTCAGTACTCTAGTGTTGGTGTTGTTTTTGTGCCAGTACTGGGACTTGAACTCAGGGCCTGGGCTCTGTCCTCTTTAGCTTTTTTGTTCAAGGCTGGTGCTTTACTACTTAAGCCATAGCTCCATTTGCAGCTTTTTGGTGGTTAATTGGAGATAGGAGTCTCATAGACTTTCCTGCCTGGGCTGGCTTTGGGCCTCGATTCTCAGCTCTCTGCCTCCTGAATAGCTAGAATTACAGGCATGAGCTACCAGCACTCAGCTAGTACTCTAGTTCTTTTTTTATTTTTTTCCCTTGTCTCCCCATTCACAAAACAGACTAGGCACAGGCCTGGGCTGAGGTGTATATTGGGTAGGTTTACTCTGCCTCCTTTTTCTATGCAGTAAGTATAAGAACACAGCCTTATTGCGGTCATGTTCTGTTAGAAAGTGTGTATCTGTTCACATCCTCTTATATTTGTAAATATGTATAACAGATGTATTTAAAGTCTCAGCTTAAGTAAAAAAGTACAGCAGTTTGAAGTGTTGGTACAGTCCCCCTATAGCGCTCTAGCTTAGCACAGGCACCACAGTCTGTGATGTCCTGGGCTCATCCCTGGAAGAGAAAACAAGGAAAAACTCCACTCCCCTTCTCTCCACCCTCAGAAGCCACCCACTTCCTGGCAGTACTGTGAATTTTGAAGCTAAATTTTGGTACCATACCAACTGGAATTTAAGCTTTTCAAATAATGTCTCGACTATTTACTGCAAGGTCAGCTTTTCAGATATATTATTAATAAATTGTTGAGAAAACTTGGAAATTATTATCTGAAGGAAAATGCTTATTGGTAAAGTTGACTTAAGTTTATTATGGAATTAATGAAGTAAATATACTGCAGTTAATTATGAGGCTAAGTTAAATTATAGTGCATTTAGTTACTTGCTTGAAAATAAACTGTCCTTTTTTTTCTCTAAAGTAAAAAAAAAAAAGAACACAGCCTGTGGTAAGCACCTGGAGGCCAGTACTCTAGTTCTGTATGCCTCAGGAAGATCTGCTAGATACCCCTGTGTCCTGAAGACTGTATTGTAATCTTGTAGAGAATATCACAGTTTAAAACAAAAACTTTACTCTGGAGAGAACAAAGTAGAAGTAAAAGCAACATACAGAGCAACATGTGGCATGCAGAGGCCTAAAATAACCCTGGTTGATCTGGCACTGATGGCTCATGCCTGTCATCCTAGCTACTTGGGAGACTGAGATACGGGTATTACAGTTTGTGTCCAGCTCAAGCAGGAAAGTCCATGAGACTCTTACTTCCAAATAATCACAGGAAAACCTGGAAATGATACTGTGGCTCAAGTAGTAGAGCACTAGCCTTGAGCAAAAAGGAGTTCAGGAACAGTGCCCAAGCCCAGAGTTCTAGCCCTAGGACTGGCTAAATAAGTAAATAAATAATCCTTGCTAGGAAAATCAGGAGGAGCTTCCTCGAGAGGCACTGGACTTACATTTTTCTAAGGGTATTTTGTTGCTTGTCTTGGGTGGCATATTTATTCATAACTCTCTTCTATTCTCTTTTCAGTGAATTGCCAGTTTCATATCTGGAACCAGAGCTCCAAGCTACCATCAAGGCCAAGTGTAAAGAGCATGTATCTTATGTCTACTTCAATAAGGGTCTTTAAATATCACACCCCAACAAGAACCAGTGTATAGACTCGCATTCACCACCTCCCTTGTAGTTGCTATGCACAGATGTGCCCATTTCTCTTTGCCAGCAAGGCATGGCATCCAGGCTTGATTGGAGGGTAAGAGGTGAGCAGGTAGAGTGATGCCTTATGTCTCTGCCCAAGTACCTGGCTGATTGGATTCTAATGCTTGCCTCACATGCATGAGGCCCTGGGTTTGATTCCTTAGCACCACATAAACAGAAAAGGCTGGAAGTGGTGGTGCTGTGGCTCAAGTGGTAGAGCGCTAGCTTTGAGCTAAAGAGCTCAAGGACAGCACCCAAGCCCAGAGTTCAAGCCCCATGACCGACAAGAAAAAAAAAACAAAAAAAAGACCCAAGTTTTCCATTTGCTTGCTCTTTACCCTGGTAACCAGAACGTAGGCCTTAGGAAGTTGATGATTTCAAGTAAATTATCTGGAAAAGTTAGAAAGCTTTAGGATTCCTAAAGGAATCCAGCTAGGATTGGAAAAAAGATATTGTGTGTCCTCCCAAGCACTAGAACCATTACCAATTCCTGACTTAGGAATATGAGGGAGAAAGCAGTCTGTGGCACTTTGGGACTCATCTCTGCCCTTTCCCATTTTCCTCCCCATCGTGCCCTGCCTGGGAATCCTCCTTGGGAGTGCTGCTGGACCCAAGTTTATCAGACACCTAGGAGTTATTTGGACCCAAGTTTATCAGACACCTAGGAGTTATTTGTGTTTGTGGAGTTTTTTTTGTGTGTGTGCGTGCGTGCGTGTGTGTGTGTGTGTGTGTGTGTGTGTGTGCGTGCGTGCGCGCGCGCGCGCATACTAGGGCCCAGTACTGGGGCCTAAGCACTGTCCCTTAGCTTTTTTGCTCAAGGCTGGTGCTCTACTACCTGAGCCACAGTTCTACTTCTAGCTTTTTAGTGATTAATTGGAGATAAGAGTCTCATGGACTTTTCTGCCAGATCTCTCTCTCTCTCTCTGTCTGTCCTTCCTTCCTTCCTTCCTTCCTTCCTTCCTTCCTTCCTTCCTTCCTTCCTTCCTTCCTTCCTTCTCTCTTGTGCTAGTCCTGGTGCTTGTACTCAGGGCCTGGGCTCCATCCCTTAGCTTCTTTTGCTCAAGGCTAGCACTCTATCACAGCTCTACTTCTGGCTTTCCTGGTGATTAATTGGAGATAAGAGGCTCACAGACTTCTGCCTGGGCCGACCTTGAACTGCAATCCTCACATCTCAGCCTCCTGAGTAGCTAAGATTACAGGCATGCACCACTGGTGCCCATCAAGACCTTTATGATGGTATAAGTCTCTTCCCTCATTGTCTCTTATCTGTTTTAAAAGCTAAGTCCCCTAACCATGAGTAAAGAGGATATATGCAGATATAAACCACACATCCTAATGAGTATGATTTCAAGGCTACCTCCCTTCCTCAGCCCACAGAGTTAAATGCCAAAGAAAGACTGGTGTGGATTGATAGGAAAGGGAAGTTTTCCCTGGACACCTCTAAGAGAAACAACCAGCACCAAAGAGCCCTAAGAGTGTGCTGAGAAAGCACCACTTATTCCCTTCTCTGATGGGGGCTGTTGTGGCCTCTCTGTGAATGAGTTTTCTCTGATAATATTTGCTGATACTGTTCAAAATTATTCCAATGAACTGAATAAATGACTTGAAAGAGCATGAAAAACAGTCGGCAAACTAAGTTAGACATGCTGGCTGCAAAGCGGGATCTGGTCATACTGTGGCCTTGACATGGCATAGGATATCTCAACTCTTAAGGGTAACAGGACCTGTCTGATGCCTGGAGGCAGCTGTTCATTCCCCTTATCCAAGCAGAAGAATCCCTGTCTATGAGGCTCCAGAGATCTTCCAGAATGGGAGCTGTATGGCCCTCAGGTTGGAGTTGGTGAATCATGATGCAAAGGGCCAAAACCACTTGATGCCAGTTTTGTACACATGGGAACTGAGAATGGTTTTCTATCTCTGAAGGTTATGAAAAAGCAAAACAAGAATAAAGGATAATATCTATACACATGGCATATGAAGCCTAGAATATTTACTGTCTGGCTCTTTATACAGAAAGTCTGCCCAGGAGCAGTGGTTTTAGGCTCTTAAGAGCAGGCATGACAAGCTTGTGAACACACTAAAGACATTCCCAGAAGTTCTAGTTCTGTAGGTCAGGCAGAGCCTGAGAACATGAGAATCCATTTTGCACAGTTTACTGGTGATGCCAATTCTGTGGGTCCTCCAAACTGGAGGCATACTTCTGAAAAGGGAAGGGGCCTCCTTTCTGATACTAAAATCCTGGCTGCAATTTGATTTTCTACACTGAAAATAAAAAACAAAAAAAAGCAAAGCATGATGGCTCACACTTGCAATCCAAAGCTATTTTGGAGGAGGAGATTAGGGGATCTAGGTTCAAGGCTAGCTCAGGAAAAAAAAGTTTTGAGAGACTTCATCTCAACCAATGGCTAGACACAGACTGGTGCCTATCACTCAACGACTCAGGGAAGTACAAATAGGAGGATCAAAGTCCAAACTGTACTGGGCAAAGAGAAACTACCAAAATAAATATGAAAAGGGCTGGCAGAGTAACTCAAGAAGTAGAAAGCCTAGTGCTGGGAATGTGGCTTAGTGGTAGAGTGCTTGCCTTAGCATGCAGGATAGGTTCGATTCCTCAGTATCATGTAAATTGAACCCAGGGTTTGATTCCTCAGTACCACATAAGTAGTGCTTTGGTTCAAAGGGTAGAGTGTTAGCCTTGAGCACAAAGAAGCTCAGGGACAGTGCCCACATCCTGAGTTCAAGCCCCAAGACTGGCAGAAAAAGAATGAGGCCCCAAATTCAACCCCAGTACCACAAAAATAAAATATTACTCACCAACCATAAAATTTACTCTTTTTGTAGCAAAAATCTCACTATGTAGCCTAGGCCGGTTTGGAACTCCAGTGGCCTCCAAGTGCTGGTATTATAGGTGTATATCACATGCCAGCCCTGTCTACTAGACATTTTGTATGAACATAATCATGCACTATGGGGCTTTATGTGTCTGACTTCTTGCACTTAATATTTTCAATGTCTCTGAGCAATTTGATTCTAGCTACTGTCTGAGTAGAAGTCTTTCTAATCTGGCTTCCTTAGGATGGGAGAACTGGCTTCCATTTTGCAGATAAATAGGAAAAGAGAAACATTACCAAAGCTAGCTGGAGCTCAGGAACAGTTCCTCGCTGATACTCTTTCAAGATCTGGCAGCCTTTCCCTTTGTTTTTCAGCTCCTGGAGCCTGGCATGCATCTTCTCTTCATAGACAATCAGTCTTTTGGAAAAGTTTATAGAGTATGTGGTGGCTTCAGTGTGTGTTGGGGGTGGGGAACACTTTTATTTGTGTATATTTGAAGTGCCTGGGGTAGAAGCCAGAGCCTTGTGCCTGGAGCACTTTAAAAAGTGTTTCTCCATGGCTGGGAATGTAGCTCAGTGGTAGAGTGCTTGCCTAGCATGCATGAGACCCTGGGTTCAATTCCTCTGTGCCACATACACAGAAAAAACCAGAAGTGGTACTGTGGCTCAAGTGATAGAGTGCTAGCCCTGAGCAAAAGAAGCTCAGGAACAGTGCCCAAGCCCCACGTTCAAGCCCCAGGACCGGCAAAATTAAAAAGGGGCTGGGAAGATGACTCTGTGGTAGAGTGCTTTTCTTGCATGCTTGAGGCTTTGGGTCCGATTGCTCAGCACCACATAAGCAGAAAAAGCCGGAAGTGGCGCTGTAGCTCAAGTAGTAGATTATTAGCCTTGAGCTAAGAGCTGAGGGACAGCGTCCAGGCCCAGAGTTCAGACCCACCACTGACCAAAAAAAAAAAAAGGAAACAGGAGAAAGAAAAGTGTTTCTCCATACTGCATCTCAGCTGTTTTGTAGCGTCTGCCTTCTTTTAGTTGGCTCCCATCGATGAAAGGCAGTGAGGGTAACTAGAAGGGATTGCTGTGGTAAGGTTTTGTGATTGTCTTATTCAGTAGCTCTCAGGAGAAAAGGATGCTGCTGTATTTTCCAGATAGAATTGGTGTTTTCTAATGCTGCCTAGGCTTTTACATGAATGTGTGTGTGTGTGTGTGTGTGTGTGTGT